CGATTTTCCAGGTGTTGTGTGTCTCAGTTTCCCTTGGCTAGGAAAAGGAATTTCCTTCCCCCTTGCACTTCCCAGGCGAGGCAATTCCTTGCCCTGCTTCAGCTCTTCCTGGTTGGGCTGCATCCACTAATCAGCACCGACTGTTGGACATGCCCCAGTGAGATGAACCCGGTACCTCAGTTGAAAATGCAGAAATCACCCATCTTCTGTGTTGCTCACAATGGGAGCTGGAGGCTGGAGCTGTTCCTATTTGGCCATCTTGGGTGCCCTTGACATGGGATTTTAGGATCCATAAAACTTGAAAAATAATATGGAGATGCATAAAAGGTTGCCTACTTTTTATCTCAGCAAGTAAGGATGTTTAAAGATATATACAAGCCCCAGAATATCATACACATTTCTCCTCCTTGGAAACAAACAAATTAAAATATTTTACTGTTACCATTATTAAACCAAAACTCAAGAAGGTCTCAATCTCATAATAAAGACTGATTGTTTGAGTTATATAATTATCATTATGAAAAACCCAGTATTTTGTGGTGATTAATGAACCATAGTATCGTGCTGGTATTTGGGATATGCAATCTGTTGCCATATTAACTACCTTGGACTCTGCTTTGCACTAATTTCCCAGGAAACATGAAAATTGTTGTAACTTTTCCTAAAACTCCTAAAGCCCGACTGTCTGCTGTGACAGAATGTGGATGCTATTCTGAAGGCTCCATCAATAGCAGAATAGCATGCTTCACCATTGTCGTGATCTAGTGGTTCATTCCTGTGTCCCTCACTGTGTCCCTTCTCCACTCACAGAGTCATTTTAATTTTATGGCTTTGTAATTGTTCCAATGTGGTGAATATAATAAATTATTGTATTTATATATCTTGATCTCTCCAAAAGCAGAAACTAGTATCATTCTTTGATTATTTTAGTCATGTATATTCTTTCTTAACTTTTTCCCCTCCATTTGCCTTTAACTTAGTGAAGGACTAGATAACACCATATACATTTCCTTTCAGTTTCCTTTTCCTTCTGTGTTTCATTTTTCCCTCCTCTGCCCCATCTTCCCTTCCCGTCCTCTTTCCTTATCTCTCTTTTCCTTTCCCTGTCTTTTTCTGTCCTTTCTTCCCTCCCACCTTTTGAGTTCATTTCCTTCCCTCCCTTCCTTCCTTCTTCCTTCCTTTTTTCCTCCCTTTCTCTTTCTTTTTGCTTTCTTTCTTTTTCTTCCCAATGAGCTAAAATAATGTTGAACACACAAAATTTCAGTGAACATGTTTTATTGAGTTTTTAATAAATATGTAAAGAAGGCTTACAAATTCTGAGGAAATGCTCACAGAACCTTGTGACTTAACGTGCTCCCAAGATACTCAACTTTAAACACTGTTTTCCTTTTTTTTTTTCTAAGACATTGTGCTCTGGAAATATATACTAGTCATACCTGCTTTCATTATTGAAGATAACACATTTTTTCTCATTAGTTTTGATGGGTACTTAAATTATTATGTGGAATTGATCATTCTTGTGTCTAATGTGAAGATTAACAAGCATTTTACTTTCCAACATACCAATACGTTGAATTGCAAGTATTCACACGGAAGGTCTCTTGATCCTCCAACTGTTTTGACATAACTAAGCTGATTTTGGCTGGTGTCAGCAGCGTTGACCCAAGGCCTAGGATTTAAATCAAGGCTTTATGGAAAGCAAAGAATCACTGAATATTTACTTTTTTTCGTTTTCTAGTTGTATTGAAGCAGTTTAGGTTAGCTAATTTATTTTAATGCCCATTTAACATTAATGTAACTTTTAAGTATGTATTATATCTTGAAGATATTTATAACATTAATAAATTGGGTCCTTTCAAATCTTCCTTGGTAAAATAAAAATTCTCTACAATTCATCTAAATTGAATATTGCTTAGAGAAATAATTTTACTTGAGTAGTATTTAAAGACATCTGTACATTATTCATATTATAGTTATTTAATAGGTCTGAAAGGCTTATAAAATGGTACATATTTTTATAAATGTCCTATTATTTCTCCATATGGTTTACTTAATGTTTTTTCCTAAGAAGAATAATTATCTTTTCTTAGAAGCCTTACAACTGCATGTAGATGAAAAGCCTGTTTTATTCTCTATTTTAAATTGAGCCAAAGATAAATTTTTCTGCCATTGACTACATGAGCCACCTATAGTGCATGAGCCTGAGTCTTCAGAACAATTCATCAGCAAAGACCCTGCTGCTGTCTTTATGGGTGCTGGTTGATTTACTACTACAAGGTTGTAAACGTCCCTCAAGATTATGATTAGCTCAGTGCACAAAAACCTGCTGACTTTGTGTTTCACTGTTGATGCCATGACAGAGGAGACAGCAAAAGTGTACACTGGTAGTTTGTGACTGCTAATATGTTGCTGATTACTTGCCACCCAAGAAAGAGAAAGATGAGTGATGGTCTATAGTGTTTCTCAGTAGTGGGTCAAATATTCTGAGTGGTTGTTGAAAGCTTCCATAATATTTATCAGTGTTACAGTCTCTTAGTAGAAAGTATGCAGAAATATAATTGGTAAAGAACAAGAACTTTTTGGAAGTCATGATGAGATTTTGATAGTATCAAATGCAGTGAAGCCTGTCATAGCTCAACTATATGTCTTTCCCTGGAAGTATCTAAACATTCAAAGTATGAAAAGGTAGCATAATAGAATCAGCTGGGACTTCAGCTCTGGATCCCAATGTTGAAGTATAGTTAGCATTTTTTTACTACATGAAGTAATCTTTTTTCTTAATTTGGTGATACCTAAAAGTCTTTGAACCAATATGACATTTAGGCCAGTTTATTCTAGTTCATGAATATATGAATATAGTTTCCAATTTTACAACTCCAGAGAGCTGTTACTTTCACTGGGTATATCCAAACCCCATCTTCCTAGACACTAGCCTGAATCAGCAATTTCACCACCTTCAAACCTGGTTTATTCCAACCCCAGCACTCTTATGCATCCTACTTTATGCATAACTCCTCTTAATTCTTAGTCCATCTAAGCTGCCTATGTATTAGTAAGCCAGGATGTCTCACTCTGATCTGATCGGTTAAAGGGGTACAACCAGGTCGGCACATTCGAATACTGTCTCACTCTCCTTATATTAATAAATATTTCCAAACATAAGCTATGGCCCCAAATCCCAGAATAGTCCAAACAAATGTCATGTTCCCTGAACATAGTGCATTTTGTAATTTAAATCCACACTGCTGTTATTAGCCATATATAGCAGAACAAAAGCATGGTTTATGGTATTTTAGTCGTTAGTCTAGGGGTTAATCAAGAAAACTGAAGAGATGGCAAGAAAACAGAATTTTGGTTTCAGCTTTTCCATGTTGTCACTCAGTCATTGTCAGTTTCCTGCAATTTACAGCCTGATCTTAATATTTAGTTGGGATGGTTTAATAACATAATCATATGTTCCTCATCAAATCTCATAGAATACTCAACTTTCTTGAAAAGCCCCTTGCAGATTCCAGTATGCTTCCCAAGCAGGTGGCTCTTCGAGGAATACTGAAAAACAGAGTATATTCTGCCGATTTTTTCCCCAAGAATTACCTTTCTTCCACATTTTATTTTTAGCCTGTGGGTAAATTTTGGTATTTTGAACCTATTTCAACATATATTTTCCTGCTAAAGCATGACTCAATTGCCAGAAAGAAACGTGGAGATTGAGAAATAGGATATCTGGGAGATAAACAACCTGAGAAAGAGGAAACTGTGTCCTTAACTCTTTAGTGTCTAATACAAAGCCTGCACTCCAAAGCAGCATTTGTTTTAAGGTGAGCCTAACAGGGCCGTAGAGGTCGTTGCCCTTTGTAATGCACTAATGCATCTTGTGCCTCTTCACGTGGAAGTCAAGAAGTGTGGCTGCTCTTCCTTTCAGGTTATAGGGAACCTTGTGACTTCAGCAAAGAATCCCTATTTTAGCAAAGCTCCAATCTCTGCTTATCTGCAGGTCTTTAGTTGACATGATTTCATCCATTCTTTCCCTACTGGCAAACTAAACATATAAATGAAAAAAGTAAACACACAGACACACGCATATGGCACACACACAGACATACAAAACCAAAAAAAGCAAAAACCTGCTAAAATTTGAAGAAGTAAAAGAAAAAAATTAAAATAATCTTAGTTGATGAGTCTATATCTTCAATGTAAGTGTACCTTCTATAATGCATCCTTCTAGGTCAATCAGAAGGAACTGATTGCACCATGTAGGCTTTTCATTGTACTGTTTATGCTCTTACGTTTTACTATTCTTTACCAAGTTATTTACATCCTTAAAACTTATTTTTTTTTCTAAATTCAGTGCTCATTTGTATTCTGTTTCTAATGGAATCTACTTCAAACTTCCTTGACTAGGAAATTTATCATAATGGATATTAGTGTATATATATTTTTTACAAAATCACATGAAATCATTTTTAAATCTTATTTTCTGTTTTACACTGTTCTCTTTTTGTCAATTTTCCTTTGTTCCTTGTTCCCACCTTCTCTAACTCTTTGCTGGCTTTTAATAAATTAGTATCAACTAAAGATTTCCTATCCTGGAAATTTTATCTTCTCATTCAAAGGCTACCTGAGGTTAAAACTTTGAAGAAAATAATTACTCTAAGGTAGCTTAGTAAGTGGGGAGAAAGAACAGGGGTTTGAAAACGTGAAGCCTCTTTTTTTATCCAAAACATGTAACTTATCCAAAAAGGAACAATACTTTTGTTGTTAGGCTCAGTAATAGAAGACCTTCAATTTCTATACATTGGAGACAATTATATTGAATCTGTCTACTATTATTATTACTGCTAACTACACCCTAACTAGTATAAATTAGTTTCATTTATATTTAACTGAAAGTATGTAAAATAATGTAATGAAAAAATGAAAGGTGACAGTATCTGCACATTTAATGCATTTCCTTTACCTAAACTCTTTCAGTAACATACATTTCTCTATTTTATTCTCAGTCCCTGAACTTCATGGGAAAAACAAGCCATTGATCTCTTACGTAGGGGATTCTACTGTCTTGACATGTAAATGTCAAAATTGTTTTCCTTTAAATTGGACCTGGTACAGTACTAATGGGAGTGTAAAGGTAAGATAGTTCCTTGATTTGAAGAAAACAACAAAAACAAAAAACATTTATTTAATAACAAGATTGTAACAGACTCAACATTCCTAAGATGATTTATACTTTTGTTATATTGTTCTTTAGCTTATGTTCGTAAAGAAAGAGCAGTGACAAATGGAGTTTTTATTTGATGGTTTTTGGCATGTTTACATTATACATATGAAGATACTCTTAACGTTTCATTAGCTGGTACTTTGTTTTTTAGGTTTAACAATTTAATTACATTCTTTGAAAAGAAATTACATTTTGTGTATAGTTGCCTAGTTTAGAAATAACTCCATTAGAAAAGATTCTTTTTAAAAATCATTCCGTGAAAGTAACTAGAAAAAATGCTAGCCACCTTTTTGGGATTCTGTCTCCTGAAACATCTGTGATAGAATGGAAAATAATGGCACTATTTGAGAAAATCATGAAAACTTTGTAACTTAATATTACATCTTGAGTTCTAGCAGTAATTGTCATTGGCCTTTTCAAGATACCTGAGAGAAGCCAAATACTTTTAATTCCTTTTTTACTAAGAGAAATCACTATTCAGAGAGCTGATATTAAGAAAAACATGAGTATTTTGTAAATAATTTCTGGTTTCCTTTCTTCTCCCCAAATAGCCTCTAATGGCAGGAAAATGTAGGACATTGTCCTTTAGGAGACACCCTTCCTTTGCCCTGGCACTAATAAACATTACAATTTAAAGTCCCATTAAAGGCAAGCTATAATTGTAGAAGGAACATGTGAGACAGTGTAGATGTTACAATGAAATATTAAATTCTTTCTTAGACAAAATTGATGTTATTATAGACTATTGAAGGATGATAGATAAATGACTCAGAAGGGAGTGTGACTTATTCTGTGCTAACAGGTTCAGTTTTTCAATGAAATAGCTCCAACAAAATCCCGTAGATGCAGACTAAAGCCATTCCTACTCCTGCTTGTCTTCTGATGGATGATGAGGAAAGGCAATCATTGTGTATATGTAATTTTTTTTAAAAAGTGTAATTTTGTAAAAACAAATGTCAACTGTGGTATTTGAAATACACAGCTTTATTTATTGATCTGTACGTGGTACGACAATACGTGAAAAACATTACCCTTCATCTAATTATATCCGATGTTGAAAATGTCATTTTAGACATACTGGTGCTTCCGTCCATTGCTATACTAGTCATTATCCTCTTAATTTGACTCTAAGCATGAGTCATATTAGGGTGTGAGAAAAGTGTGGGGAACAGGGGGCAGGTCAAAACTTGAGCACAAATGCCTTTTCAAAATGTAGACCAACCATGTGCATCAGAATCAGCTGGGTACTTATTAAAAATATGGTATTTTGATTGATTAGCTCTGACCAATCTGTACCAAACATCCCAGGCAGTGCTGTGCACATGGTGCCAGGTTGCTGTAATTTTTTTTTGCACAAATAATATATTCACAGATAGTTCTTCCTTTGATAAGCTCTGAGAATATTTGTATGCAGATTACCACTTATTGAACAGTGCGGTTGAGTGATGGAGCAGGGAAAGCATCAAATGGCTTGGGAATAAAATTTAATTTAAATAGATTAAATAAAACAGCCCGAAATAGCTTAGTATGTCATCTTGTGAGGCTGTGGAAAACCCAGCAACTCTTAGAAGCCAGCTTACCTGAGAGAGAAAGAAATTCGGATATGAAAAGGCAGAAGGTGTGCAGTTCACTTTGGATCCCAGGCTCACAGGGGGTCCCCTCCATTCTATCTACATCACCTCCAAAGGCCTGAAAGTTTCATCTTCATTTCTAGCCTGGGGAAATCACATTGTCGGAGTGAGCAATTTTCCTTTATAGGAATTATCAGAAATAGTAGCTTTCAGGGTGGTAGTTGTTTAAATATGTGCCTGTGCTTGTGAAGGAAAAAGTACTTTGATTAAAGCACTAGGCAAGGATAGGAATGTGAGACTCAGATGTTTGGGATTTTTCTGTTTTTAGTTCTTCTATAATATTTAGCCACGATGACCTACTTGCTTCTTTGTAGTTTTAAACATTCACTGCTAAATCCTTATAGCAATGTATACATGTTTTCTTTGTTTGTTCCCTGGGAGATCAAGCTCTGATAAGACTTAAGTCTGTTATAGATAACCTCTCATACATTTTAATATGCTTTTCTCTAGTAAGCAATATTGTTGGCATTATCTTATAGCTTTCACTCAGAAACTACATCATGTATCTTTTATGTACTATGATAGGAATGGATTTTAATGTCTCCTTATATTAGGTTCCTGTTGGTGTTCAAATGAATAAATATGTGATCAATGGAACATATGCTAATGAAACAAAGCTGAAGATAACACAACTTTTGGAGGAAGATGGGGGATCTTACTGGTGCCATGCACTATTCCAAGTAGGCGAGAGTGAAGAACACATTGAGCTTGTGGTGCTGAGCTATTTGGTGCCCCTCAAACCATTTCTTGCAATAGTAGCTGAGGTGGTTCTTTTAGTGGCCGCCATTCTGCTTTGTGAAAAGTACACACAAAAGGAAAAGAAGCACTCAGGTGGGATTACTTTTTGTTTTTTGTTTTTTTTAGAAAGTATTATCAGTTAATTATAAGTATCATTTACTTATATGGATTATGATTTGATACATTGCAATGACTTTAGGATTTTTGGGGAAAATCTTCATTTTCTTATTTGGAGCATTATTTAGGTTTACAACAATGGTGACAGTGAGGTAGAAAGATGTATCAATGGTCTTCCTGTTTCAATTCCTGAAAATAAAAGTGCCTTTTTTCTTTCTCTTCCCCACCTCACCCCTAATCCCCTCGCCTTTTTTTGGTGCTACTGGTACCTAAGTACCAGTTAGGTGATATGTATTCTGGCCCTGGATTATTAGAAAAATCTATGATAGCTTAATATAAAAAGTCTCAAAGAAACAGTTTTTCTTTCACTTAGATTATCATTTAAAAAAATATTTTATTAACCATTCCAGAGTTCTCATTGAAGAGAGACTGTCCTGTCATTTCCTATTTTTGCAGCCTGTGCCTGATGGGTTACAGGTTGATAAAGCAATAATCCTCGAGAAAATTGACCTTACATCCTGTTTTCTTTACTGATTTTGTACTAAATTTTAATGATTTAAGTAATGACAAACTAAGCAGTCATGTTTTTGAAAATACCAAGCCACTAAACTATGTTTGATCAGAAATGCAGATAAGGTCTGTAGTGCAGATGAAGGAGGTGTAGGTGTCTAAGGTAGCATGTCTCTCCTTCATTCCAAACAGGAGAAACAGCATAGTACTTTCTTACATAGGAAGGAGGTTTAATTGAGCATATATGTTCCATAAAAATGACAAACCAACTTCATAGTCAAATTCTTCTTTTGTTACACAGATGAGGGGAAAGAATTTGAGCAGACTGAACAGCTGTAAGTATTATTTTTTACAGATTAATTTTCACTTGAGTAAAATATAGGGACATATAAAATTGAATGAAATGTTTGCAGTTGGGGGAAAAAAGGCAGAGGAGTATTTTCTGTATATGTCCATGTGGTGGTGAAAAGTGGCATTCCAAGTCTGCCTGCCTCCGTGAGAATTCTTCTTCATCACTTACTACCTGCACTTCTCTGTACTTCAGCTTTCTTCTCTACAAAATGGATTTAATAATAGTACTCACCATATGAGCTTGTTGGATGGAATGAATATTATATATGTGTAAATGTGTAGCATAGGTTTTGGTGCACAGAAGGTGTACAGTAACCATCAGAAGTATTTAATATTATTTTTTTAAAGCAATGGTTCTCAAGCCTGGCTATTTTTGATCACTTAAGAGTCTCTTTAAAGATACAGTTGCTCAGACCTTGCTGAATCTCCTGGATCAGAATCTCTTGGGTTGGGGCTACGGCATCTGTATTTCTTGAAAACATCTACGAATGGTTTTGATCTTCTGTCTGTTGAAAATCACTGGCCTAGAATTCTATTAGTTATTCAGAGAACACAAATTGTGCCACAGGTTCTCTTACACAGCCTTTGTTTAGAGTTAAGCATGAGGAGATCTGGAAATAAAATCACCAGGGATGTAATTTAGTTTGGCAAAGATGGGAGTTCCAAATTCCTCCAAGGCGGAGAACTGAGTACGGAGGCCAGTGACAGAGGTGTCTAACACTGGGATTAACGCCTGAACAATAGAGCCAAGGGCTGGGGGCCAGGAAAACGAGGCTAGATTAAAGTTGCTGCAAGAAACTTGAGAAGTGGAAGGCCTGAGCAACTATTACCAACACAAAATGGCACTTAGAGTTTATCAGCCAACAGGAGCTCTATGGAGAGGGTGTTACAGGCACAAATAGCAGGAGTGGAGTAGACAGTTGTCATTTAGATGTTTGTAGACATTATTCAAATAATCGTGTTCACTCAGTTCACATAGGCTGGTAAAATAAACCAATATGATATGAGCTTCCAGGTTAAGGGCACAAAATAACTACATCAGAAATCCTATAACACCAGATAGAGAAAAGCAGCATTGTCTTAGAATCATAGACACCTATAGTTGGAAGGGAATTGTATCTCTCCCAAAGGAATCCCTTCTCTTTCTGGAGAGCGTCGACATTTATGTTGATTTGAACTTTTAATCTTTCCTATTTCCATGTGTTGGCCTTTTTCTTGTTCTTAGCATCATATAACAAACGTGACAGTCATTGACATATTTGAAGACAGAACCTTGCTCGGGTTCCTTTATTCTCTGAGCTCTGCCTCCCACTGTCTCTAACCATTCCTCTGAGCTCACATTTGGAGGTTGCATTCTGATTTAAAACACACTCTGAAGGGATGGTGCCAGAACAGTGTGGAATGGACCATCACTTCTGAACAATGTAAAATGGATTCAATCTGTAGTGTAAAAGATGAATTTTTTTTTTTCTGAAAATTGGGTTAATATACATCATTTTGCTCATCATATACAGCACCATAAGGATCACTGAAGGTGTTTAGTTTTTCTTATCTTTAGGTTATTTCACTATCTTTAGATTGCATACAAATATCAAGGGCACTTGAACTCATTCAGAACAATGAGCTTTTTGGTGCCCCTCAAACCATTTCTTGCAATAGTTGCTGAGGTGTTTTCTTAGTGGCCATTATTCTGCTTCTGAAGAGTACACACAAAAGAAAAAGAAGCACTCAGGTGGGATTTCTTTTTTTTAGAAAATATTATCTGTTAATTATAAGTAACACTGTCTTATGATATGCATTATGATTTGATAATTGAAGCCTGCCCCCAAGACCTTGAAGGGCAATGTATTCATTATGCATACTGGTTATTTAGTTTTAGTCAATCTTTAGAATCTGAGGCCCACATTTGTAATCCTGCTGTGATAAACTTTGGGTGGAAAAAGAACCATTTTTAACCTCTAATTCAGTGTAATAAGCACACAAATGTATAGCACCAATATCACACATGTTGGCTGACCTCCTAATTGGCTGTTACCTTGCATGTTTCCAAAACCACACATAAGTTATGGTCTTTATGCCCAAGTCCTCACTCATGCTTGGGCAGAAGCAATTCTCCCTGTGCATAAAATCAACAAGCCTTTATCACTATCATTTGTGGTTACGGCTCCTCTTCAAGCAATGCCATAAAAATAAATTCAACATTGTAAGTAAAATATTTTTAGGAAGAAAGAATTCTGTCTGTATTGACATTTTACATTTTAACCTGATAGCCATATCAGTGATGTACTTACTTAATTTTATATAATACAAACATTTAGTAATTTTCTTTTTTGTTTTCTGTACAGGAAATCAGATGATAGCAATGGTATAGAAAATAATGTCCCCAGGCATAGAAAAAATGTAAGTTACTTCTGAATGATATTCCAAATAAAAGGTAAAATTCAATATACATAGGCTACCTATTAGTCAGTTACTTTTTTTTTAGTTCCGTAAAAGATCTGGTCATTTATGATGTGCTCAAATATGCTTGTTTACACTATTATAGGGGAATATATACAGTATAGTTGTACAAAAATAAATACTTTCCTTTTCCACCAGAGGACACATAGCAACCAATCTAGAAGTAAATCTTTTGCACTGGCTACATATTTTATTTTATCACCATGGGCTAGTTTCTTTTACAGTTTTTCTTGTAGCTGTATTTGTTTTCCTCTCAAATTTTCTGGATTTTCTGTTATTTTAGTTTCATCTATTCCCATATATTTGGGGGTGTAAACTTATGCATATAATATGCTAACTTTCTTTGCTGATTAGATTCAAAATTTTTAGTTCATCAACATTAGAGTAGGAGATCTTTGTTTTGGCAGTAGATTGGATCCCTCACTTCCCAGTATTTTTTGCTTTGCTAAAGTGATAGTAAGTTACTATAAAGTAACCAGAACATACTAATTATATTTGATTATACTTTATTTAACTCAGGAATCTCTGGGCCAGTGAATGCAAAACCTCATGTCGAGAATCATTGGAAGATATACAGAGTTCGTATTTCAGCTTTCTTTATCCTTCCTGTTAAGAACCTCTGAGTTTTTAGTTTTAAAAGGATGAAAAGCTTATGCAGCATGCTCAGCAGGAGAGGAGCTTCATCAATAATACATGCTATCTCAGATCTAAGGGTATATTTTCATTCTGTAATTATGTTACATAAAAGCAATGTAAATCAGAATAAATATGGTAGACCAGAATAAAATTAATTATATTCTGGTCTTCAGAGTACACATGGAACAGATATCAGCAGAATCACTTAATACTTCATAGAATAAAAATCACTCAGAACCTGTTTATAACCAAAGAATTCATGAAAAAGAAAGCCTTTGCCATTTGTCTTAGAAAGTTATTTTTTTACAAAATCATGCTTATTATTAGTATCTATGGAAGTATATGTAACAGTTTTTATATAAAGGTCATCTTTCTGGGATAGTGAAAAAATATGTCTTTACTAAGTTGAATACTTTCTGCCTTTGCTAATGATAGTTATTCTACAATCTCCACAAGAAAAACATACCTTTTATCCAGAAATATTGGCTTAAGGCAAATAAATAAAACTGTGCTTACTCTAAAGCTCTGTCACTACAAAAGCAAATTTTCCAGTCTTTATTCCACTCATAACCACTACTCTCCCCACCAGGCTAAAGTGCTTATTAGTCTTTAATTAGGGTTTCGAACTTCATAAGGTACACCATTGTTTATGTTTTAGAGTACAGGTCCATATAGTTGTAATACCTAAAACACTCCTACACTGATGCTTTTGTGGCTCATGGTTTCCTGGTGTCTTTGATTTAACACCTGGCTTCCTGGTATCTATGGCTGGTTAGATATCTAAACTTGTATTATTAGTGCTTTACAATAATAATTTCCTCGACTGAAGTCCAGAAGTACTAAAGTACTTCTTTTTTATTGCTGTGAATGCCTTAGACTTATCTTCAAAAATAGGATGCGTTGTTTATATTGCGTATATAACTGAAATATTTTATAAACTCACTGTAATCAAATCTTATAAAATCTGAATCGACATGAAAAGTTGTCAGTGCTTGAATGAAATACTAAAATCATGCCACAGGATGCTAGATAAGGTAAATGACCATGATGTGTCCTTGGAACTGGTGGGCGCAGTGTTGCACTGCTCGCAGGGCAACAACTTTAAGAACAGAAGAGTGGTGGTGTGGAACCCAAGATTCTTGGCGACTAGGGGATTTAAAGGTTGGGGAGGAGTAATTCAAAGATTTGAAAAGAAATACTTTATAAAAATTTACTCCATATATTGGCTAAGAAAAATGTAATAAAATTTTGGTAGTGAAAATTATATCACTAATGTTTACCATTATTACTAGTATGAATAATACACATAAGGTAGTGACTTGGAAGCTGGTGAATTCTTTGTTGGTATAACAAAATGCAATATTTTGTTGTAAAGCATCCTAACTACACATGTAAGTTTGCTGAACTTGAATACATCCCAGTAATGGCAAACTTCATTTTATTCTTGGTTTTCATTTTATTCTGGTCTCAGGTCCATGCATTTATTTTAATTTAATTAATTATTATTTTGACATTATTTGGGTGATATCTATATAATGGTAGATAACCAATCAGCTTAATTAATCTAAACTCTTTGAATTCGGGGAAATATTAGTCAAATCTGCTGTTTGACTAAATACAATTCAAAGCAGTATATTTGTGACTGGGAATATAGAACACAAGGAAACAAATGTGTAGCCCAACAAATGTGTAGCCCATCTGCAGTATGCATTCTTCCATTTTGCCACCACTAACCTTCAAGGCTGATACAATTTTCAAGCAAGAAGCATTGCTTCCTGAAGGTAAAATAATCAGAAATATTTCTAGAGTAAATTGAATTTTTAATTGGCAATACTGTGTTTTGTTTGTTTGTTTGTTTTGTTTGTTTGTTTGGTTTTTTTTTGCAAAAATACTTTATTTCAGTAACCTTAAATAGGAAAAGTACTCAAAAATTAAAGTTGATGTTTGGCTTTTTATAGTCTTTCTAGAGGACTTCTAGAAAATTACCACTGTTGGATTTTAATCTGCTTCCATTAACCAATCTTATAGTGATGATAAATGGATTAACTAATACTGACCAACTGTAAATTGACTGCAAATAATAAGCCACATAAAAGCTGAAGTAGGAAAACTACTCAAGTTTATATATTAGGCACCTTGGGTAATTCTCTTAGTCTTTCCAGCTAACAAGGATTTTCAGCATAATAAGTAGATTTAATGATGGCATAAAATTCTCAGATACTTTCATACACATTTTTTTGCCAAAGTGTAAATCTCCTTTTGCAGTCTTTTTGTTATTATTCCAACATCTAGCTTCTCAGACCCCGATCTAGAACTCATTGTGATATTTTCTTCTTCTGTGTTAATTAACACTTATAGGTCATGAATCCCTGCTCCTTTGACCTTTTTAATAGTTCATGAATCCACCCCATTGCCTTCCCAACTCTGCCCTCACCAGCTGCAACAGCTAATGCCTTGATTTTCCTACCTCAGTCTCCTTTTCTATTAATCCCTCTTTTGCATGGCTGCCTGAGTCCACTTTCTCAAACACAAACCTCACTATGCAACTTTGGAATCTCTGTAGGCTCACCTTTGCCATTTCTTAATATTGCATTCTCCAAATTGCTAATCTCTATCCAGTCTCTTGAACTAGACTTGGCACATGGAGATTCCGCTCAGAAAGTGCTCTTCACACTTCCACCTGCTTGACTAACCCCAGGTTATCTTTCAAGACTTTAATCTGATCTTGTGTCTTAGAGAAGCCCCCATACCTAGTAGAGCAATTACCATCTTACATGCTTAAATAACTCCACATTTATTTGTGTTTGTTACTCTGTGTTCTAAATACACATTTGTTGTTCTCTGTCTTGGATTATTTTCTTTCTTTGTCCTGTAACTACCAGTGCAAGGGTGTAATACAGATGTCTTAAAATGTGTATTGAATGGATGAATGTATAAATAAAAATTAAATTTTGTAAATTTCTACTTGTTCTTAGAAAAACAATCTAAATTGTGACAAATCATAATTGAAAAAAATTATAAAGAAAAACAAGCTTTTATAACTTCAGTATTTGCTTCTTTTACTTTGAAAAAAACATAGAATAGTATAAAGGTCCAGTCATATTTTCTTTAATAATGAATTAGTGTCTTCTGAGCAAAAGGAGTCTAATTCCGAAACTATTACACAGATTATGTTGCATTCAACTTACTTAAATTTCCCTTGTTCTTCATGTTTCATGGACAGTACAAATGCAAACCTTATTTTTATCCTTTATTCTAATAATGCATTGATTTTAAATATAAAGAATTTTAGGCCAGGTATGGTGGCTCACACCTATAATCTCAGAACTTTGGGAGGCCAAGGAGGATGGATCACATGAGGATAGGAACTTGAGAGTAGCCTGGGCAACAGAGTAAGAAGACCCTGTCTCTACAAAAAATAAAAAAGAAATTAACCAGGCATGGTACTTGCCTGTAGTTCCAACTAAGCTGAGGCGGGAGGATTACTTGAGCCCAGGAGTTTGAGGCTGCACTGAGCTATGATTGCCACTGCACTTCAGCCCGGGAGACAGAGGAAGACCCTGTGTCTGTTCCCTCCGAAATTTAGCGATTGTATTCCTTTACATCGTACTGGAGAGAGTTGATGTTTGTGTTCACTCCCTAACCTCGTTCCACTTTCCCCTGCCAGTATACTTCAGAATATCTCAGATCCAATTCAAAATTTAATCCTAAAACATATAATTATTTTCACAGTTTCATAGTTTAGTTTTGATCACTGAAAGCATTTCTTTCGTTTTGTCTAATTGAACAAATTTATGCAAGGAATTGGGGACCTATTCCTCATTAGCATTGTTCATCTATAGGTGGAAATCAAGTATGTGTCGCAGTATTAATTAAAGGCAAAGTGACCTATTTGTACTACATTCTGAATAAATACTTACTAAATGAATGAAAAATAGAAGTATGACTCAATTATTTTAGAATCTTAAGTTATACAGATTTATGTAATGTCTATTTTGATTTTTATTAATTAACCATGAATTTATCCTAGTCTAGTACTGAGAAAAAGGAAATGGAATTATGGATCCTGCTTTCATATGATACTTAGGAATGTATCTGCACTGTATCCAGAAGGTCAGTTACATGCCCTGTTTACCAATTGAATTCTGCTTCACTAAGAATAATAATAACTGACATTTAGTACATGGCATATGATGGGCACTGTACAAAATGCTTTGACATGTTTTGTTCATTTAATCCACACAATGGTCCTATGCTGTAAAAACGGTTAATATCTACTTTTTTATAAATGAGGAAACTCCAGCTTAGAGAGATTAGGTAAGCTGCCTAAAGTCACTCTGTCTGTAAGTGTTTAGAGCTGAGATTCACATTCACGGAGTCCTCCTGAAGAACCTAGGATTAACCGCCATGTTGAACAGCTTTGGCCTGCAAATTACATGCTTCTTAGAAAACAAGGCTATTATCTGTAATCTGTATTTTTTAATATCAATTTTATTCCTTTCAACTGGTCAGTTATATCATAAATTCCATGGAATTTTTATGGAACCCATGCTTTGCCACTCTTATATCCCTATAGTGGTGCTGGGGAATCAGGACACATTTATTTGCCTTAGCACTCTTTCTTTCTTTTTTCTTTTTTTTTGTAATTTTACGTATAAATTGGGAGGGTGGCCTTAAAATTTATCATCCAACCACTGAAAGTGAAAGAAGGTGCTTTTTATGATTTCACCAGGATAACAGGCAGAAAATACTCTCTGGTCACACATTTAGCCTGCAGAGAGCATTTAAGTATGTTATGGATCGTCTGCCCTAGACACAACAGTGGCATCTGCAACAAGTAAATGATAAACAAAAATCAACTTTCAGAGAAATAGCCATTTTTAGTAAACATAGGGAAATAGCCATTTTAAGTAAATGTCAGGTGAGTCTCACTATATAAACTGCCTATAATGAAACAGTTTAGTAAGCTTAAAGTTCTATTAATCTCCAAAAGCATCTAACAGGTTGGGATTTATTGGTATGCAAAAGTATCATTCACAAATTGTAAGAGAAGCTGTCAAAGTCATGTTTTTGCTGGCCTATGGAATGTACTGGAGAATTCTTTGGACTTGCATATCTTCTGATTCATGTACCATAATAATGTCTGTGTGATTCTCAGTGAATCACGAATGCGTGATTGTGCTTTTACAATAAAATTTGTTTATGAAGTCAGTGAAAATAATTCATGGATAACATTGTCAAAATTACTTTTAATCACATGATTAACCTGCAACACTATGTTTATTATTTTTATGTGTTGGCTTATTACATTTAAAAACTTTGTTTATAAAAACTGATTTTGCTATTTAATTTTTAATTTACTTTAGAAAATAATGTAGCACAATGTTAGATTTATTACTTATGTAACTGTAATACTATTTAATGCTGCAAAATCATAGCACGTAATGTTTATAACTTTAGCATTTTATTAACTGTCTTTGTACCTTTAAAGAAAGAAATATGATCATAATCTTTAGTTTTATTTAAATCAAGGATCATGGATTTATTTTGTCATACTTTCTAATAATTATAATGTTTTCCTTTGTAAGCATATGTGCCTAAATTCTCATCGAGGGCTTTCTGTACTGTGTAAATAGCACAAAATGTCTATATAGGAATGTTTAAAAAACATTTTCTATTTCATGTAACTCAAAAGATACATCTAATATGCAATTAAATTGAATAAAATGATACTTTGTGAATTAAAAATTTAAGTATTGGAAAACATTGTCATACTTTTTATTTTTTAATAGTAGTTTAAAAGAGAATATAAAGGCACTAAACAGAAAACATTAGTTTTTTTTTTTTCTTTGTGTATACTCACAAGTAATTTAAATCATGTTGAACAATATGTCCTTCTCAAGCGCAGTGAAAAAGTGCACCTAGAGCTGGGATTCTAGTTTATCACATCAAACCAGAAGTCAGAAGTCTTTCAGAAAGGAATTTTCAAAGTATCCCAAAATATATTTGAACAGTTTAAAAGGCAGTAATGAACTTCATAAAAATAGATATAGTTTTTTTTGCATATAAGAAATAGTTTTTATTACTATAAAGAAAATAACTTTTTTAAATGTTTCACTGTAATTTATTTATTTATTTATTTATTTATTTATTTATTTATTATAACTTAAGTTCTAGGCTACATGTGCACAACGTGCAGCTTTGTTACATATGTATACATGTGCCATGTTGGTGTGCTTTACCCATTAACTCGTCATTTATATTAGGTATATCACCTAATGCTATCCTTCCCCCCTCCACCTACCCACAATAGGACCCAGTGTGTGATGTTCCGCTTCCTGTGTCCAGGTGATCTCATTGTTCAGTTCCCACCTATAAGTGAGAACATGCAGTATTTGGTTTTCTGTTCTTGCAACAGTGTGCTGAGAATGATGGTTTCCAGCTGTATCCATGTCCCTACAAAGGACACAAACTCATCCTTTTTTATGGCTGCATAGCATTCCATGGTGTATATGTGCCACATTTTCTTAATCCTGTCTGTCACTGAGGGGCATTTGGGTTGATTCCAAGTCTTTGCTATTGTGAATAGTGTTGCAATAAACATACGTGTGCATGTGTCTTTATAGCAGCATGACTTATAATCCTTTGGGTATATCCCCAGTAATGGGATGGCTGGGTCAAATGGTATTTCTAGTTCTAGATCCTTGAGGAATCGCCACACTGTTTTCCACAATGGTTGAACTAGTTTACAATCCCACCAACAGTGTAAAAGTGTTCCTATTTCTCCACATCCTCTCCAGCACCTGTTGTTTCCTGATTTTGTAATGATTGCCATTCTAACTGGTGTGAGATGGTATCTCATTGTGGTTTTGATTTGCATTTCTCTGATGGCCAGTGATGATGAGCATTTTTTCATGTGTCTGTTGGCTGTATGAATGTCTTCTTTTGAGAAGTGTCTATTCATATCCTTTGCCCACTTTTTGATGGGGTTGTTTGTTTTTTTCTTGTAAATTTGATTGAGTTCTTTATAGGTTTTAGATATTAGCCCTTTGTCAGATGAGTAGATTGCAAAAATTTTCTCCCATTCTGTAGGTTGCCTGTTCACTCTTATGGTAGTTTCTTTTGCTATGCAGAAACTCTTTAGTTTAATTAGATCCCATTTATCAATGTTGGTTTTTGTTGCCATTACTTTTGATGTTTTAGACATGAAGTTCTTGCCCATGCCTATGTCCTGAATGGTATTGCCTAAGTTTTCTTCTAGTGCTTTTACGGTCTTAGGTCTAACATTTAAGTCTCTAATCCATCTTGAATTAATTTTCATATAAGGAGAAAGGAAAGGATCCAGTTTCAGCTTTCTACTTATGGCTAGCCAATTTTCCCAGCACCATTTATTAAATAGGAAATCCTTTCCCCATTTCTTCTTTTTGTTCGGTTGGTCAAAGGTCATATGGCTGTAGATGTGTGGTATTATTTCTGAGGGCTCTGTTCTGTTCCATTGGTCTATCTCTCTGTTTTAGTACCAGTACCATGCTGTTTTGGTTACTGTAGCCTTGTGGTATAGTTTGAAGTCAGGTAGAGTGATGCCTCCAGCTTTGTTCTTTTGGCTTAGGATTGTCTTGGCAATGTGGGCTCTTCTTTGGTTCCATATGAACTTTAAAGCAGTTTTTTCCGATTCTGTGAAGAAAGTCATTGGTAGCTAATGGGGATGGCAATGACTCTATAATAAATACTTTGGGCAGTATGGCCATTTTCACAATATTGAGTCTTCCTATCCATGAGCATGGTATGTTCTTCCATTTTTTTGCGTCCTCTTTTATTTCACTGTGCAGTGGTTTGTAGCTCTCCTTGAAGAGGTCCTTCACATCCCTTGTAAGTTGGATTTTAGGTACTTTATTCTCTTTGAAGCAATTGTGAATGGAAGTTCATTCATGATTGGACTCACTGTTTGTCTGTTATTGGTGTATAAGAATGCCTGTGATTTTTGCACATTGATTTTGTATCCTGAGACTTTGCTGGAGTTGCTTATCAGCTTCAGGAGATTTTGGGCTGAGATGATGGGGTTTTCTAAATATACAATCATGTCATCTGCAAACAGGGACAATTTGACTTCTTCTTTTCCTAACTGAATACCCTTGATTTTTTTCTCTTGCCTGATTGCCCTAGCCAGAACTTCCAAAACTATGTTGAACAGGAGTGGTGAGAGAGGGCATCCCTGTCTTGTGCCAGTTTTCAAAGGGAATGCTTCCAGTTTCTGCCCATTCAGTATGATATTGGCTGTGGGTTTGTCATAAATAGCTCTTATTATTTTCAGATATGTTCCATCAATACTGAATTTATTGAGAGTTTTTAGCATGAAGGGCTGTTGAGTTTTGTCAAAGGCCTTTTCTGCATCTATTGAGTTAATCATGTGGTTTTTGTCTTTGGTTCTGTTTATATGCTGGATTACATTTATTGATTTGCATATGTTGATCTGCCTTGCATCCCAGGGATGAAGCCCACTTGATCATGGTGGATAACCTTTTTGATGCACTGCTGGATTCGGTTTGCCAGTATTTTATTGAGGATTTTTGCATTGATGTTCATCAGGGATATGGTCTAAAATTCTCTTTTTTTGTTGTGTCTCTGCCAGGCTTTGGTATCAGGATGATTTTGGCCTCATAAAATGAGTTAGGGAGGATTCCCTCTTTTTCTATTGATTGGAATAGTTTCAGAAGGAATGATACCAACTCCTCCTTGTACCTCTGGTAGAATTCGGATGTGAATATGTCTGGTCCTGGACTTTTTTTGGTTGGTAAGCTATTAATTATTGGCTCAATTTCAGAGACTGCTATTGGTCTATTCAGGGATTCAACTTCTTCCTGGTTTATTTTTGGGAGAGTATAAGTGTCCAGGAAATTATCCATTTCTTCTAGGTTTTCTAGGTTATTTGCGTAAAGGTTTTTATAGTATTCTGTGATGGCAGGTAGTTTGTATTTCCGTGGGGTCGGTGGTGATATCCCCTTTATCATTTTTTATTGCTTCTATTTGATTCTTCTCTCTTTTCTCCTTTTTTAGTCTTGCTAGCGGTCTATCAATTTTGTTGATCTTTTCAAAAAACCAGCTCCTGGATTTGTTGATTTTTTGGAGGGTTTTTTGTGTCTCTATCTCCTTCAGTTCTGCTCTGATCTTAGTTGTTTCTTGCCTTCTGCTAGCTTTTGAATGTGTTTGCTCTTGCTTCTCTAGTTCTTTTAATTGTGCTGTTAGGGTATCCAGCTTTCTCTTGTGGGCATTTAGTGCTATAAATTTCCCTCTACACACTGCTTTAAATGTGTCCCAGAGATTCTGGTGTGGTGTGTCTTTGTTCTTATTGGTTTCAAAGAACATCTTTATTTCTGCCTTCATTTCATTATGTACCCAGTAGTCATTCAGGAGCAGGTTGTTCAGTTTCCATGTAGTTGAGCGGCTTTGATTGAGTGTCTTAGTCCTGAGTTCTAGTTTGATTGCACTGTGTTCTGAGAGACAGTTTGTTATAATATCTGTTCTTGTACATTTGCTGAGGAGTCCTTTACTTCCAATTATGTGGTCAATTTTGGAATAAGTGCGATGTGGTGCTGAGAAGAATGTATAGTCTGTTGATTTGGGGTGGAGAGTTCTGTAGATGTCTATTAGGTCTGCTTGGTGCAGAGTTGAGTTCAATTCCTGGATATCTTTGTTAACTTTCTGTCTCGTTGATCTGTCTAATGTTGACAGTGGGGCATTAAAGTCTCCCATTATTATTGTATGGGAGTCTAAGTCTCTTTGTAAGACTCTAAGGACTTGCTTTATGAATCTGGGTGCTCCTCTATTGGGTGCATATATATTTAGGATAGTTAGCTCTTCTGATGAATTGATCCCTTTACCATTATGTTGGCCTTCTTTATCTTTTGATCTTTGATGGTTTAAAGTCTGTTTTATCAGAGACTAGGATTGCAACACCTGCATTTTTTTTTGTTTTCCATTTGCTTGGTAGATCTTCCTCCATCCCTTTATTGTGAGCCTATGTGTGTCTCTGCAAGTGAGATGAGTCTCCTGAATACAGCAAACTGATGTGTCTTGACTCTTTATCCACTTTGCCAGTTTGTGTCTTTTAATTGGACCATTTAGTCCATTTACATTTGAGGCTAATATTGTTATGTGTGAACTTGATCCTTTCATTATGATATTAGCTGGTTATTTTGCTTGCTACTTGATGCAGTTTCTTCCTAGCATCGATGGACTTTACATTTTGACATGTTTTTACAATGGCTGATACCTGCTATTCCTTTCCATGGTTAGTGCTTCCTTCAGCATCTCTTGTAGGGCAGGCCTGGTAGTGACAAAATCTCTCAGCATTTACTTGTCTGTAAAGGATTTTACTTCTCCTTCACTTATGAAATTTAGTTTGGCTGGATATGAAATTCTGGGTTGAAAATTCTTTTCTTTTAGAATGTTGAATATTGGCCCCCACCCTCTTCTGGCTTGGAGAGTTTCTGCCAAGAGATCTGCTGTTAGTCTAATGGGCTTCCCTTTGTGTGTAACCCGACCTTTCTCTCTGGTTGCCCTTAACATTGTTTCCTTCATTTCAACTTTGGTGAATCTGACAATTATGTGTCTTGGAGTTGCTCTTCTCGAGGAGTATCGTTTTGGCATTCTCTGTATTTCCTGAATTTGAATGTTGGCCTGCCCTGCTAAGCGGGGAAGTTCTCCTGGATGATATCCTGCAGAGTGTTTTCCAACTTGTTCCATTTTCCCTGTCACTTTC